ATGAACTTTTCTAAAAAATTTAAAACCATCTAATTCGTTTTAAAAAAACAATTTTTTCTAATTCTTGTAATTCGTTTGGAAAATATAAATTCTAAACATTTCGTATATATGTTTTTTCTACAAAGTAAGTTTTAAAAATAAAGTTTTTTTTCCTCTTGAATTAGAAAATATGTTTTGTGTTTTTTTAATATTATCAACATTTTTTAATACATTAACATAAAAACAAAAACTCAAAACTAAACTACTTGAGCAAAAAGACTTGTAATTGAACTTGTCATTTATTAGGACACAATTCTATTATTAAAACTTTTCAAAATCAACAAAAACATGCTTTTTATTAACATATTGTCTACGCTCTTAGAGAAATTAAACGTAGGAGTATATAAATAAAGAACGTATATAACTTATGTATGTTTTAGTTTTTATAAAAATAACATAAATCATACAGAAACTTTAAATTTAAATTGATATACTAAGTGTTAAAAAATTTGGACTTGAGCCCTTTTCGAAACGACAGGTTCGATTATTAGAAAAGTTTTCTTATATTAGATGCGATCCTGTATAGAACGTAATAAAAGTAGATTTTTTAACATTTGCATATAACAAATGTGTTTATATATAAGCGCAACTTTATTCCTATGCAACAAAATTTAATTAGAGCGCGCTTGAAAAGTGCTGGTTAATTGCAATCGTTATAAGAGTTTATAAGATGGTTTGTTTAATTAAATGCATAGATCAGTGGTTTAATGCGCTTTCATCGGTGTCGTTTTGCGAGAGTTCGTACCCGCCTCTTAGCACAATATATTTTCAAGTTTTTTTTTATCTAGACATATTTATTTATAGCAAAAAAAGAGTTGTAATTGTTAAAATAAATATTGAATTTTTTTCTAGCTATGGGCTATTTTTCTTTTTTTCTTTTTCCTCCTGAGCATCTTCTGGAGTATCAAGACTGCTTTATTAAATATTTTCTTTATTAAGTTTTAGACTATAAGTATTTTTCAGACCATCCGCAGCTTATTAGGGCTAATTACCTGATGACATTATCATCATAAGTATCTCAATTATGACACACACGCAACAAATTTATCCTGGTGATATGACGTTTTTAGAACTTTTAGCTTTATTAAAAATCTTTTTGTTTAATTATTTTTACATTTATTATGTATATAAGATCTATAAAATTTCAATAATACTTTATTTTGTATTTAAAAAAAAAACCGAATACCTGTGGTAGAACTATCAATTTCGTGATAAACTACCAATGCTTTTTTGTTGCAGCTAATCACTCAGCTCTGGGAGCTAATCACTCAGCGACGCTGGCATGTTGACGAAAAGACATTTGCAAAAGTATATAGTAAAAAAAAAGACTATATAAAACGAAAATAATGGCAGGATCAAAATTATTTTTAGAAAAAAACTCTAAATAAAAAAGATGTTGAAGAAAGTATTTTACCCATTAAAAAAAGTTATAAACAGATTATTGCAAGTTAACTCTAAGTAAATAAAGCTTTGTATGGAATGCGTTTTTAGACTACAAATAACATAATGATTATGTTATATAAACATGGCTTGTAAGTCTTTGTATTTCAAACGTAATTATTTACATCAAAAATCATTAAATTGGTTTAATGTTTAATTTACATTTTTTTCACCAAGCTAAACTGGTTAAAAAAACTATAAACCTAATTAATGAAAACAACTGAAGAATGATAGATATTTATAAAAAAAAACTAATAGAAATCTTGGTTAGATAAACGTATTTAAAGCATGTGTATATTGTTGCGTTTATTATTTGAACAATTTTGCTATATTCTATTATCATTTTGTTATCATAATCAAAAATTTTTTAAAATATAAATTGAGTGTTTTTAACACATTTATCTTTTCTATTATAATAGTTTAGTAGGAATAATATATATAAGATAATTCTTCTTTATTTATATGTTAGATGAATGTTATTGTGATATGCAAAGTTGTTAAAGTCTATATATCTAGATTAGGACACAAGTGTTTTTAGTAAAATAATTTAAATAGTTGGTTGTTGAGTTAAGAAAAATAAAATAGTTTCTGTTTTTAAAACTATATAGGATATAAGATATAAGATTGAAAGGGATTTTAATTTTTTTTTTTTTTGTTCTTTTTATTTATTCAAAATAAGTTTTACAAGAAAAAAATCAATAAAATACACAAATGGAATACAATAAGAACTATAAATTTTGTTAAATTTACAATAAAAACGCGGATACTCGTAGAAGATCATAAGGTCTAGAAATTGAGAACCACCTAAAAAGATTTAAAAAAAAGTTATCGTGAATCAAATCATTGCATAATATTTGCTTTTTGTTGCGCATTTTTATTTTTAAAATGAGCCAGTTTTTAAATTTATTCATAAAATTAAAATTGCTAAAAACCATGTGTTTAATACATTATATTGTCCTTAATTTAATGACAAAATACGCATATTTTAAACCAAAATATTAATGTTTATTCTGCTAAAAACAACTTTAAATAATTAAAGACGGGGTCTAACTGTAAAGGAAAATGTAGGGATTTCAAATAGGATGGTTCAATAAAAATTCATAACAATCCCATGCGCGATCCAGTTAGTTAACAAAGACAAAATCACGATGGTACTGTGTAAAAATGGATAATCGTTGTTATGCCAGTTTTTGTCCTGCACTGACTAGTCGCTGTTTTACGTTTACTGGCTAGCCACAAAAGGTTCATTAAAAATATATAGAGCAAAATTGAGCTTCACCAAAGTCGACAGCTGTTGCTAAATCAGGGCGACAGCTTACACAAGACCAGTACCTGGACCATTATACCCTTGCTATCTGGGTGATGTGTCGATACTATTTTAGAAAGCCAGAAAAAGTTCATATCAACAAATATTTTTATAAAAATTTTATGCTAGCAATTTTTTTAATTAATTTTTTAGTTAAGATAAGGTTAGGCAACTTTAAAAAAAGGTTTTCTATTTCTGTTTTATTATTAAATGATACGTAGTTTGTTTTATCTTTTATTATTAAATGATACGTAGTTTGTTTTGCGAGAGTTTATCAGTCCCAAACCAGTTATTAACTTTATTTAGTTCAGTATTTGTGTCATAAAACTTCTTGACATCATTGTTAATAAGAAATAGATTTATATCATCAGCAAACATGACTGAATTTACAGAAATCATCAAGATAAATTAAAAACAGAAGTGGACCAAGGATAGATCCAAGATTGTATATTTCATACAAATTGTTTTCTCTCGGTAACGTAACTTTTAACCCAGTTTTAAGTTTTATAAATTATGCCATAGTGCCTTAGTTTATATAATAAGATGCAGTGGTCAACTGTATCAAATGCTTTTGATTTATCAATAAAAACTCCTAAATCAAATTTGTTTAAAACCATTAGCTATTTGATAAACTGCTTCAATGATTTCTCAGTTAAGAGGTTTTTTATAAATTCAAACTTATTTGGATAAAAAAATTTGTTTTTTAGTAAATTAACTATAGATACTATTAGAAATTAGACGTTTGAAAATTTTTAAAAATACAAAAAGTATTGATATAGGTCTATAATAAGTCGGAATATTCATTACATTTAAATACAAGAACTACTTTTGCCAACTAAAACCTTTGGGAAAACCCCAGAAGTTATTGAGAGCATTTGTATAAGAATGAAAAGTCTGCCTAAGCTGATTTTGTCGAAGATAACTATAGCTTTTGATATTTTATCAAATCCCGGTGCTTTCTTTTTTTTTAAAAATGTGAAATATGCTTCTTTAATTTTTTTTTTAGTTAAATTCATTATCGTACATTTGCGGGTTTTAGGAAGATTTTAATTGAATAAATAAAAAATAAAATTTGTTTTAGAAGATTTGAACCAATATTTATATTGGTTCAAATTAATTGTATGTATACTAAATACAATTAATTTATAAAACATTGTTCAAATCTATGAAATATGTAAATGTTGTTAATAATAATCCGTTGTTTTTTTTTGTAACGAAGTTAAATTTATTTTTTTATTCCGATTTTGACATTTATGAACGTTTTTTACTATCAATTTTCCATTTAAAAGTTTGACTTTTGTAGTACTTTTTTTTAGCATTTTTAATAAGATTTTTGTAAAAATCTTATTAAAAATGCTTATATTTTTGTGATTTTTCTGATTATTAGTACTTTTATTCTTAGATATTTATTATAGAGTTTTTGCTTCTTTTTCGAACGCTTTATTCAGCAACTTATCCATTCACAGATTAGCAACCGCTTTTGTCTTAATTTGTATGTCTTCTTGGGGACAAGTTTCATTAAAACATTTTAGAAATACATCTAAAAAAATTTTGAACACTTCGTTAATGTCGTGATACCTATACACGTGGGACCACGTTTATTGTTTTAGTCTAAATAATGGTACATTAGAATTACTTGTTTTGATATATATATATATATATATATATATATATATATATATATATATATATATATATATATATATATATATATATATATATATATATTATATATATATATATATATATATATATATATATACATATATATATATATATATATATGTATATATATATATATATATATATATATATATATATATATATATATATATATATATATATATATATATATATATATATATATGTATATATATATATATATATATATATATGTATATATATATATATATATATATATATATATATATATATATATATATATATATATATATATATATATATATATTTATATATTATTAGGTTTCAAAATAAAATATAATAAGATGGTTGACTAAAACTAATTGTTTAAACCATTTTTGATGATCTTTTTTTTGAGTTCCTTACTTTATGTTTTTTTTTTTAAAAATAATACACAATGGCACTGAAATTTTTTTTTAAAACTTTCAAAAAGGTTGAATTTTAAATCGGCGTTAATTTTCGTAACTTAGAATTTTAATGTGAAGTATAAAGTTCATTATATAAATATAAATACCTTCTCTTACTATCATTAGTAAAGCAACTCCAATTATATGCATTTTGTTATACACCTTCCTGTTGAATCAAAACTTTATTTACCTTGCAAAACTTTTTTATATTTGACAACTTAAATGCTCTGAACTTTAAGAAACGAGCGTATAAAAACGTATGAAGTTAGGACTTTGTACTAGTTTTTTAATTAATCTTTTATTAAGGTATTCTCGTGATAATAACTGTTTAAGCTTGCTACACAGTTTAAAGATTTCATTGAAATTAAGGATGTTAATTTAATATTTATTTTAATGGCTTTTAAAATGCTAACAATAAAGTTTTAACCTATTAAATACTATGATGTATAGGAAGGATTAATGGCAGTTAAGTTTTTATATTAAAGTTTGTAAAACTACGCACGTTGAGAATAAAAGCATAACTTTATAGTGGCTTATCAAATTTTTAGTGTTTTAAAATCTTCGAAATTTCAAAAATTTTGAAATTTTTTCAATTAAAAGATGAAAAAAAAAAATATTTTAATTAAAAAAAATACTACATTTACAAAAAAAAAAAAAGTTTTAAATATATTTAAAACTTTTTAAATATCGAAATACGGTCGAAAATTTTAACCATTGAATGTTTATAACCTGAAAACAAGGAGGTTATAAACTTTTGCTTTAATTTTCTAACTAAAATAATATTTTCTAATCAAATTTTAAAACCTCGAATAAAATGTTACTGAGCTCGAGATATTAGAACTTTTATATTAAAAAACTTCCTTTCTCCATAAACAAGCAAGTTATATCTTATGATTTTTGGGTATGTTTGTTCTTAGAAAGTTTTGGCAATACATTTTTATATAAGTATATATATATATATATATATATATATATATATATATATATATATATATATATATATATATATATATATAAAAATATATATATATATATATATATATATATATATATATATATATATATATATATATATATATATATATATATATATATATATATATATATATGTATATATATATATATATATATATATATAAAAGTTTAAAATTCAATTCAAATACAAAAATATTATAAATTTGCTTTTGTAAATTGTAGCTTTTTGGTAACAATACTGTAACGGCGTATTGGTAGTCATATATTGTAGCTCAAAAACTATATTTTTATTTTACAAATACTCACGAAATATGTAGGAAAAATCATGATAGGTCTGCGCTCTTTACCCTTATAGTTAGTCATTTTGAACTGATCATTATCACAGCACTATTCCAGAAAACAGGCCTATATTGGACGGCTGTGTTTCCGCCATTTACACAAGAAGCTGCTATGACGCTAACGTACCTTGTTTGAACCGTTGCGTTTTAATCACCAGTTCTACAGTGGTCTCTCATCCACAATCTATTGATGAGCTATCTACGATACTTTGTTTTTATAAAGTTTTTTTGCCTGTTCAGTAAGAAAACCTTTTCAAAAATATTCCCAGACCCTTTCAGTCTCAATTAGGCACTGGTTTTAAGAAGTACAATAATTTATATAGGCACGAAATATTTTAAACTATTTATGTAAATATCTTTATCTTCAAGCAGTATCAATAGTCTTACTACAGCAAGGCTAGTGTAAGCAAAACTTACCGTCTCCCAAGATACTAGGCCCAATTTCGCAATGATAAGAAGCCTCAAGATATAATTAAAGAGTTTTTTTTTTTTTTTTTGTAGGATATATTGTTTTATTTTGTGTACAAAAAAAGCATTAACAAATAGAAAATAGAATTAAAACGCCAAACAAATGGTTGCTCTATTTGAAGTAACGGAAACCAAAAGGAGCGTGGTATTGCCATACTAACTAAAATTAAAAATATATTTAACAAAATTACCCAAGACAATAACGGGAGAGTTCTTGCTGCCAATGTTATTCTGAAAAATTTAGTAATGAGAATAGTTAACGTTTTCGGGCCCAATGATTCGCAACATAAGAAAATTTTTTTTAAACATGTTAAAAACCATGCGCGAAAATCAAATAATACGATCCTGTCGGGTAACTTTAACATTATTGAAAATCCGCAATAATTGAGAACAAACTAAGTGATCGCAGAGACTTAAGCTGTACTCGTATACACAATAACAAGGGGGAGAGAAACCCAGATTAATCGCACCTAAGTGCTACTCTATTAGGCGACCACGCCTTTAAAGCGAAGTTGACAAGAAAAATTAAAGTTTTATCAAGTTTTATGAAAATAAAACAAAATTCAAGAAGAAATTGAAATTATAAATCAAAATCCAGAAGAAGACTTGAAAAATTTGAAGACCTAAAGTCAAAACTTCAAGAATTTCTGTGCATCTATTTGAGAACGAAATATGTCCGAGCGTAGTAAAGCAAAAAACTTTCCAAAGCTCTTTTTCAAATGATCAAAATAATCAAAAAAATCGAAGGAAAAAAATGATGAACTAAGTTAAAGACGGCGATATTATACAAATGGACACCGTCAAAATAATTGAAACAATTAGAAAATTTTACAAAAATTTGTACAAAGAAAAAACTTTAAAATGGAAAAACAATACAAATTTAAAAATTCGCTTTCGGATGATCAAAATGCGTTTTTAAACATCTCATTTAGCAGTAAGGAGTATTTTAACGGGACCATTTCCTTAAACATAGACAAAATATCAGATATAGACAGCCATTCAGTAGAACTCTATTAAGAATGCTGGGAACTTCACGGGGAAGAACCTACGTTTATTATAAACGCTAATGTCTTCGAAGTAGATAACAAGCTGTCATGGTCCCAAATGAGAGTGCTGATAAGTCTCCTTCATAAGGGTGGGGACATAACGGCGCTGCAGAATTGGCAACCGATATCCTTTCTGTGCCCGGACTAGAAAATAGCCGCAAAAACCATTGACTTGAAGCAATTAATAGTACTTGCTAAAATCCCGAACCGTAGCAAACGCGCTTGGTGCTGGGAAGAAATATGTCGATTAGAAGAAAGTAAAACTTTGTCAACAAGCATTTATAAAATATGCAATGTCTTTGTATATAAGATTTAAAATAAAAACTTTTCTTATTACAATAAAATTTACAAAAAAAAGTATTAAAAAGGCTCAAAGAAGACAATGATGACAAAATGTAATTACAATATTTTCATAGAAAATTCGAATAACTCAAAAAATTCGGGTTTAAACTCTTTTGTTTTTTTTCAAACTGATGGTTTGTTAGACAACTTCAAATCGGACCCGGTACACAATTATTTTCTCGAAGCATGTGCATTAAAAAGCAACTGCTTGCATTATTATTTCAATGAGATTGAAGAATTTCTTATTTCAAATAATTTTAACATTTTGCATGTTAATATAAGAAGCTTAACAAAAATTTTGAAAATTTTTGTACAAATATAAAAGAATCCGTTAGTATTTTAAGTCTAATTTGCATCTCTGAAACCTAGTGTAGCTCGGAAGTCTTAAATTCTAACTCAAATTACTGTTTACCACGTTTCAAAATAATTCATTTAGGGCGTCATAATAATAAGCGAGACGGTGGTGAAGTTATTTATATTAAAGAATATTTGAGCTATTTAATTAGGCCTGACATGAGTAATTCTGATGACGATAAAGAGGTTTTAACAGTTAAAATTAAAAAAAAAAAATAATTATTATAAGTTGTTGTTATCGCCTAACTTGTGGCCAAATTATAAAATTCACTTTATTTTTAAATGATATTTTAAGAACTAGCACTCAAGGAAAGAAATTATACTACCTAATAGGTGACATTAATTTGGATTTTTTTCAATACCAAACCATTTGTAGGATTAAAAATTTGTATAATGATTTATTTGAACATGGAGCGTTTCCGTTAATTAATAAACCAACTAGAATAACTGAGAGATCAGTTACCTTAATAGACAATACCATTTCAACTGATATTTTTAATAAATCTCTTAAAAAAGGTATTATTAAATGCGACATCTCTAATCACTTCCCAATATTTTTCTTAATTAACATTGCCACAGCAAAAATACCCCAACAGAATGTAACGTTTACAAAGCGTTTTTTTACTTCAGCGAATTTATATTCATTTAAAGAACAGTTATCCCTACTGCATTGGAAAAACGTAAATGCTTCTGTTGACGCTAATGTAGCTTATAACGCATTCTTTAAAACGTTTTATGAAATATACGACGTAAATTTTCCAAAATGTACTGTAATTAAAGAAAATAGAGGTTTAATGTCACCGTGGATCACGAACGATCTCATAAAATCTTTTCAAATTAAGCAAAAACTATATATTAAATACTTGAAAACAAAAACACAAGAAAGTAAGATTCTTTACAAAAATTATGTCAGAAAGTTTGAAATACAAAGAAAGAATTTTAAAAAACTGTACTACTCTAATCAACTTGAAATGAACAAACCTAATTCTAAACACACCTGGTAAATTCTAAGAGAAGTTACTGGCATGCAAAAAACAAAAACATGCGCACTGCTTGTAATCTTATAAATTAATGATGAGTTTTTGTCCAATCCAACTATAATTTGTGATGAATTAAATAAATTCTTTGTGTCAGTTGGTCCAAATCATGCAAAAAAATTCATTTTGTGATAAATTAAATGAATAACTTCGATTTTCCGTTAACTTCGTCTCTAACTTCCTTTGAATTATCTTTTGAAGAATTTAAGCAATCTTTTAAAATGCTAATAAATAATAGTGTAATAAATCTGTCGGTTACAACAATATATTTAGTAATGTGGTCATTATGAACATTGTATTCGTATGAACATTTGAAAAATGTACTATTTAAAGTTTTTCACTGTTCAGTAAAACAGGGAATATTTCCAGAACATCTTAAATAGCCGAAGTCACACCAATTTTCAAAGAAGGTGATACTACAAATCTTACAAATTATCGCCCAATCTCTGTTTTACCTGTTTCTTCTAAAGTGTTAGAGAGAATCTTATATAACGTAATTTGTAATCACCTTTCTTTAAATAGTATACTTTATACTAATCAATACGGGATCAAAAACAATACATCAACAGAACACGCGATACTCCATATAACTCGTAGTATTTCTGAATTGTTTGAAAATTCTCAATATACGTTGGGAGTTTTCATAGATTTATCAAAAGCTTTTGATAAAATCGATCACCAAATTCTCCTTAAAAAAGTTAAATATTATGGAATTAAAGGAAATGTTTTAAAAGTACTTCAAAGTTACATAAGTAACCGCAAACAGTTTGTTTATAGTAATGAAGTTAA